TGCAGTGGTTATTGAATCATCCTATGTTTATTAAGAATCGTCTATATCTCGCGGGTGAATCCTATGGAGGCAAACTTGCTCCCATGATTTCCATGGAAATAATACGAGGTAGTATATATGAAAAGTGAAAAAAAGAAAAAAAAGAGAAACTAACAAGATTTTATTTCGATATTTTCTTATCCACCAACTAAGCTAGGTTAAGTTGTTAGTCCTGATTGTGATGCAGGAAACAAAGCACGACTTCAGCCACAATTGTCCCTCCAAGTATTGATTAGCTCAAACAAATATATAAATTTCTTCTTAATGCTATAACATATATATTTCTTGTCAATGATCGAGTACTTTTGGAATTGAAACAGGGATATATTATTGCCAATGGACTAACGGATCCAAACATTGATTTTAATGCAAGAATTCCATATGCTCATCGCATGGCACTTATATCCGATGAATATTTTGAGGTAATTTTTATTATTCAATTATTTTATGGAGACACACTTTCGGGAAAAATGGGCACATTGCAGTTCACACGTAATTAATTAACGCAATTTCAGTCAGCAAAAATTAACTGTGATGGGAAATATCACAATCGTGATCCAAATAATATGCTATGTTTGTATGCCCTTCAACGAATACGAAAGGTAACATTTTGCATCTTATTTTATTTCATTTTCCATTTCCTTTAACGTTTGTTATGGTTGCAAACACTAACAAGTTAGATTTTATCATCAAATATTGCAGTGTTTAAGACATATAAAACAAGTTCAGATTTTGGATCCAATATGTGAAAACAAAGCACAAAACCCAGATGATTTTGGATGGGATCAAACATTTCCCAAGGACAATTCAATTGAACATCTCGTCCTCCCAACAGAAGAAGAAGAACAGTGTCAAGTAACTTAATTAATCCTCTATATACCCGTAAACATTTGCTTAAAATTTATTTGTCTACAATTTAATTTAAGACTTACTTTGTCATTAAAGAAAAATCTTTATTAAACTATGTTTGGTAGAAAAGAAGCTTAGAATAACCTTCTTTTTTTTT